GTGGAGGGAGGAAAGACTGAAGACATTGAGGGCACGCCGAAAGCTCACTGGAGAGTGCATGGGAGGTGGATTATCCGCCTCGCCCAGTGCATCGCCCTATTCTCAGCCCGCCCCCATCTTCTTTATTCCCAGGCTGGCTCCTTCCGGCCTGAAGACAATTCCCCTGTCCCATCGCCTCGCCCTCTCTACCTGCTCCCAAATTCGTCTCCTGCTATGCCTTTTGATGACTTCTCCTTAGTTGCCACGAAGAAGTGCTCATATCAGCAAACAGATGGCGGCTGAGGCATGTAGCATAAAATATATTTATCAAGGCAAACAGCTGTAGCCCATTTCATTCGGCAGAATTCTATTAAAAGTTCTCCAGAGCTACAAGCCGCTCTGAGACGGCAACCTGAACGCAGCCCAGGGAGCGGCGGCTTTGTGCCGCTCTCCTCCCACCCTGCTCCTTTCTTCTCCAGGCCAAAGAGAAAGCGGCCAGTCTCTGTATTCTTCCTTGCAGGCTTCAATTAAAATGCCACAATTGCATTGGCAGCCTCCACTGTCCTGCCTCCTTGGGCTGGTGGGGGCCCTTCTTAAGTGCTTCTGCTTTCCAGGCAGGCAATAATGACTCCCAGCTGCACCATTACAATTACTGGGCACTGTTTGGGCCAAGTGGCTGCTCTCTGGGCTCCTGTCCTGTCCTGTCCTTCATCGGAACAAACAAAAGTCTACTCACTGGGGACCAGGAAGTGCTGTTTGTCCCCTGTCTCCAGCTCTCATCAGACTTTCTTGCTGTGCTTCCTGTTTTTGGTATGGCCAGAAAACTGCCATGATTCCCCTCATCACGTTTTGGAAGACCACTGATCTGGGAATTGGGAGACTGGGATCTAGTCCAGATTCAGACATTAATTTGCTTTGAACTTGGGCAACCTTCTCATTGATCGGGGCTCTTTATTTCCTCTTTGAGGGGTAGGACTAGATTAAAGGAGCACATTTAAGTATCTTTAGGAGCCGGACCGTGTGAAATGTCCAGGTATATGAAACTCTGGTTTGAGACCCACCAACCCTCAACATTTGCTAACATTCCATTAAGATCCAATATTCTGTAATAGCTATTAAGAGACACTTGGGGGTAAGGCTGAACTCCAGAGAAGGCAAATGGATATCAATTGGTGGTCTATATGAAATTACCACATTTTGCATTTTTTTAGAGGGATAATGAAAGACACGATTGGTGACCTTGGACGTTCTGCCAATCATTGTGGGGAGTATCCATCATCTTGAGAAATCATGTGGTTTAGTGGGGCAGAAATAGGGGATCTGGTGCCAGACTGGGTTCAAAGCCTCACTCTGCTCCTTGACAGAGGTGCAACCTCTCATAGGTCATTTAACTACGCCTCAGTTTTACCTCAGGTAGGTTATTTAACTGCACCCAAGTTACAATTTAGTTTCACCAATTGTGAAATGGCAGTAAAAGTAGTACTTTTTTTTTTTACAGAGCTTATATGAGGATTAAACTGATAAATCTGAATAATTAATCTAGAATCATGCCTATTATAGAGTAAGTACTCAATAAATGCTAATTGTTATTTATGGAGATGACCTTCCAGCTTTGTTGTGTTGGCACAAAATTGGACAAGTGTCCAAGGAGTGGTTCTGTGGAGCTAATATTTACAAATCCTCGGCAACAGTGGTGAGGCTTAGCTCATCTCTTCCACCAATCACATCATTGTAGGGCTTCATCCCTCACCACCCAGATTTTAGCTGGCAGCCGAGACTGCACACTGACAATTCCTCGCATAGATGATACACTTTTACATGCATCATCTAATTAGATTCCTTGGAGGGAAAGAGGCGAGTAATGCCTTCCTCATTTGACAAAGGCAGAAGTACAAGTTCAAAGAGGTTATGTAATTTGCTCAAAGTCACCCAGCCCATGAGTATTAGAGTCAGCATCTGAGTCTATGATATCTAATTCTCTTGATAGTTGAATCTCCACATTATGGGACTACTTTTATGCACTTGCTCATGATTGTGGTTAGTTAACATGTTATAATCAGAATAGCCCTGTTGAGTTGCAGGGTTTCCTAAACTTACCTAAAGCATCACTTTGGGTGCTTGTTTCAAACTCTGATTTCTGGGCCCCAGTACAAGTCTACTGAATCAGGATTTCCAAAAGACTCAGTAATATGCATGTTCACCAAGCTCCCCAGGTGATTCTTATGATCAGGAATGTCTAGAAAACCCTGGGCCAGAGAATTCTGCCCAGAAAACTCACCAATCATCTTTGCACCTTGTCAGATATTAGAATAGCTATACAGAACCATCTGGTAAGGACGTGAGAGGATGTGGGAAGAGTATGGCTGGCTCGAGGGACTAAAAGAACAAACAAAGCAAAGTCCTTGGCTTGTTAATTTAATTTGCAACATTGGTATTGCATTCTTATTTGCAAGCAAGGTGGCTTATTAGGTCTTGCATGGTGGGTCAGGAGTATCATCTCAGAAAATGAAAGACACTTATCAGAGCCAAAGAGCATTTAGTGGTCTAAAACACCTAATGTGCTCACTTGCCTGCCCTACTTCCAAGAAAAGGTTCTGACAAAAGGCGAGGTTGTTATCTTGCAACGTCTATTAGATTATGTTCAGTTAAACATTGCAATGAGCTTTAAGCTACTTTGTGATCAAAGTCTTTTGGGAACATCCACAGAATACAGAACAATATGCCAAGAGCTGAGGGTACAGAGTAAAGGCTATGCCTGACCTCAAGAAGGCTTCAGTTCAGTAGGTGAGAAAATAATTGAAATATGTCATTGAAAGATGAAATGCAGGGCAATCATAATCTCATAATAATAACACTCCAGGTAATGGTTAGCTCCCTCTTCAGTTAATGGCTTGTTGACACTTTGTGTGGGAGGAACAAAGGTCCCCTTTGAGTTCCACACTCAGTGTTAGCCTACCAGTAGTACTTTTCAGCTTCTGCTCTTTTGCTCCTGATTTGTTTAGTTGGCATGCTACTCTTTCATTTGCTACCTTCCCTCATGAACATTCCACCAACATGTTAAGCATTAAATTAAATCCCACTGTAACAAAATGATTTCTTTCAGTACAACAGGACCTGCCCATCCTGAGAATCATCCAGTGGTTCCTCCCTCACGGCCCCATGTTTTGCACTAGTTTGTTTTCCGTATTCTTTCTCTGTCACCTTGCCAGACTTTACATTTGTAGAAGCCTGGAGCTGGAATTACTGAAGTTTCACCAGCAGATTTTAGCATAGAACCCCACTCACAGCATGTGCTAGATGATCACATAGTTTGTCGGCAGTCTATTAGCAGATGACACAGGTATGATGAGCCCAAACCTCTGATCCTTGAAGCTACTCTGTGTTAGCTGGACATTTTCGATTGTACCAAATGGAAATCAAATTCAAATCATTTCAAGTAATAACAGGGATTTCATGGCTACATAACTGCAAAATCTGTGGGGGCAGTTTTGCTAGCTTTAGGCACAGGTAGATCAGAGTTTATAAATGTTTTTGGGAGTCTATTTATCTCCATTTCTTAGCTCTGCATTTGTTGAGGTTGATTTGATTCTTGCGTGGACTCTTTACATGTGGGGGCAGAGATGGTTCCTAGTGTTGCTGGGCTTATGTTCTGCCTGATAAATAATCTCAGGGGAAAGAGAGAGTCTCTGTCCTTTTCCTGACAAAATTCCAAGGCCTGCCCTTCACTGTGACCTGATTAGCTACTTCCAAACCCGAAGGTGATGGCTCATTAGGCTCCATTGGAACCACAAGAAATCAGAGTGGGGAGAGGTGTATACTCTTAAACAGAAATGAGGGAAATGGATGCTGAGCAGGCAAGAAAAACATATCTGACCCAGGGTTATTTAGTTTTTCATGGAAAAACAATCCACAGCAAAACCACTTTCCTTAACACTGATATCATTTCTGATGCTAAACAGGCATTGTAAAAAATGCATGCATTAATCATAAGATGAACCAATCCTGCAGCATGTAAAAAGCTCAATGCACCTTGACTTCTCTATAAAATACACACCTCAGATCACAGCCCATGCAAACTTATCCTAAAAAAGTAATTCCAGATGCATACCAAGAGTCAAGGCTGTTAAATGCAGCAATATTTAAATAGAGATAGCAACAAAATATTGGAAATAACATAAATATCCCAAATACAGAAATGGTTAAATACCTTATAGTTTTTTTGCTATTAAAAGTGCGGTTCCTAAAATGTACTTGATATAGAAAAATGTTCAGGAAATTATGATACAATATTCCAAAAAAATGCCAAGATGCAAAAGTATTTATATTTGACGATCCCAGATTTGTGTGAATATACACAGTTTCACTAAAGGCTGGAAGGAAATACTTTGAGGTGTTAAGAGTTCTTTGAATGATAAAATTGCCAGTGAATTTTTTCTTCCTTTATACTTTTCTGTTTCCCATTTTTTTTTGCTCAAGAACTGTATTATTTCATGATGAAAAAAACACATTTAATATTTTTAAATGCATGCTTAAGTGTCAGGGCAATGGGAAACACATACCATTGGATTTATGGTGATTGCAAAGCGGGAGGACCCATCCTTTCTGGGGCAGAGGCCAGAATACACAGAGAAGAGCTTTTTGGCTTGCTCTGCCCCAGGCTAGGCAAGAGGGCACCACTGGCTTCTATTTCTCATGGGCCAGGGTTTCCGTTATTTCCATATGGGTGGTTTCTTCATTTGCTGCTCACTCAGGCTTCTGGGGAGATATCCACCCCCCTCCTTATTTACTAAATGGGGGAGGCAGAATGGGAGGAAGACGGAGAGAGAGAAGAGAGAGTTCCAAAATCTTTCCCCCCAAAGGACTGCAATAAAGGAGCATATGTATCAACTAAAAAAATTCCTTGGCAACAAAAGCTTTTTAATTGAACACAGTCTCTTCAGCCAACTTATGTAAATTCTATCCCAATTTTGGGCATCTATTTTGAGCACAGAGAGAAGCGGTATGAATCTTGCCCTAAAATTGTGCTCAACAGAAGGGGTGACGCCATATGGATGCCATGTTATGGGAGCCTGTCACCTGCTAACTGAGATGAGAAATTACAGGTTATAATCCCCTTCCTGCTGTCTGAGGATCCCAGGTGGGCTGGGAGAGCTTTGGGTGTCAGGTTCTGTGTGACCCTTTGATACTTGCCTGGGGCCTTTCCGCAAGTGTCTGGGAGGTCACAGGGTGAAGGAGAAGAGAAGCAATGCCTCTAGATGGGGTGGTGGCGGGGTGGGGGGTGGAAAGTGCTTGCTTCTACCCCCAGAGGAGATGGATTTCCTCCTCCTCAGCTTAAGTGGGAATCTGGCTAATCCTATAAAACTGTTACCAGCTGAGAGTCAGTGAGTGGCCGTTTGGTGACTAGACCAACCTTGAGAAGTGGCCTCATGTGGAAGTTGGGAACTGGGAGGAGGGTGATGCACCTATTGCATTGTACCTATTAGTGGAAAAGATGGAGAAAGAGATCCAGGGGGGACTGTAAGCCCACTCCGAGTATTCTCCTCCATGGGGAGTTGTGAGTGCAACCCACCCCTCCTTCTGTGGCTTGGGAAAGGATGAGTTTTGGGATCCACAGGAGGTTGGCTACAAGTCAGTTAGCAAAATATGGATTGTAGGAAGTGCACGTTGCCTGGTTTTAGACTGTAAGTAGTGTCTAATAAATGTGGGGATTTTATCTGGAAAGGCATTTACCATAGATAAAATGATAGCTTAATATGATGTGGGAAAAATCATGTGGACACATGTCACATTTATTTTTCTATGCCTAACTTGTTTTCTCCCAAAGTCACTCCAAATCACAAGCATAATCCCAGGCCAATTCGATTTCAGGTGTATATTCTTTCTCTCCCCTTGCTTCTTAAGTAGGTTTAAAAACTTTTCTGGCTACCTGACCACATAAGTGTGTCCATCGTTGATGCGTTAACTTTGGATGGTCTAAATTGTAGGCTGCAAGAAAATGGTGTATGTACCATTGCCTTTCTAACAAGCTCTTACATGATCGCACCCTGTGTACCCAGGGCCTGGTAAAGGACCTGGAACAGAATTGCTAGTAAGAAATGTTATTCGATAAATAGACACATACACAGTTTCCACTGGTCCTGCCCACTTTTACTTGGAGAAATAAAGCATGCAGAAGACCAATAGGGCTATCATTGAGAAGTGTTGTACCCAAGAGTTAAAGCAACAGGATAGAAGTAAAAGAGTTCTTTGTCTAAGGTCAACTGAGAATATGACGGTTATTTGTTTCACCAAAATTCCCTAGTTTTTTTTTCTCTATAAAATGAGGATGCTTTTCATATGGCAAGTGATTGATAACTCATTACTTATAAATATCCAGATTTGTTAGAAACTACCTATAGATTAGACACCAATGTGCCCAGTGATCTGGCTGCTTTTCCTTTGCTTGGCTGTTTTCCATGGACCAACTCACCTGGTCCATGGAAAATATTGTTCTTTCTCCCTTACTTCCTCCTTCCATTCTTCCTTTCTTTTTTCCTGTTACCATACATATTTATTCCACACTTATCATATTACAGGCACCATGATAGTCACTTGGGATAAAAAAGGGAAGAAGGCATGCCTGACTTCAAGGAATTTACATTCTAAAGAAGGAAGCAAACAACCAAATCGATAGTTATACTAGACCAAGATGCACTTACATGGACGTATGCAGGGTACGGTGGGAATGCAGAAGTAAGATGACTAAGATGGATTATGAACTCCTAAAAACAGTAAATGAGGTTCTAAGATG